GAGTGAACCTGCATGTCCACACAATACATCTGAAGATTTGAAACAACTGTGATTAGCCAAAGCCAATCAAATTAATTATGAAAGTGAAATAACAAAGCACTTCATGTTCTCCAATTGAAATATTCAGATTAAGTTTTTGCTCACCTGAACCGAAGGCTTAAGTGAGCTTTTCTGATATAATTTTTGTCCATTGTCTGTTGGCGTCGTCGTCTTTGTAATTGGCGTTGTTGTCGTAAACTCTTCACATTTTCATCTTGTTCTTCAAGAACCACTGGGCCTATCACAATGAAATTTGCCACAAAGTATCCTTGGGTGAAGGATTTAAGTTTGTTCAAATGAAGGGTCATGTTCTCTTCCAAGCCTGAAGGGGAGATAATTTTGAATTTTGAAAAATTAGTGGCATTTTTTACAATCTTCTCAAGAACCATTTATCCAGAAAAGATGAAACTTGGGTGGAAGCAGCTTTAGGTAGAATATATCCGATTTTTTTTAATCATGACCCAAGGGGTAGGGTGGGGCCACAATGGTCAATCAAAGCTTTACATAGGAATGATTAGGAAAAAACCATAGGGCCAAAAAAGATGAAACTCATGTGGAAGCATCATCATGAAGTGTAGATTCAAATTTGTTCAAATCATGACCCTGAGGGATAAGTTGGTCCACAACTGGGTATCAAAGTTTAACATTGGTTTACATAGGAAAAATCCTAAAACATCTTCTTGTCAAGAACCACTGGCCCAGGAAAGATGAAAGTTTGGTCATATCATCACCCCTGGGGATAGGGTTTGGCCACAGTGGGGTATCAAAGTTTCACACAGGAAAAAATAGAGAAAATTCTTTAAAATCTTTTTCTCAAGAAAAGCAAATCGATGCTTGGTCATATTTATTTGGAAGCATCCTCTTGTAGTGTAGATTCAAATTTCTTGAAATCATGACCCCTGGGGGTAGGACAGGGCCACAACAGAGTATCAAAATTCAACATAGGAATACATTAGGAAAAATCTTCACAAGAACCACTGGGCCAGGAAAGATGAAATTCATGCATATGAAGGAGCATCTTCTGGTAATGTAGATTCAAATTTGTTCAAATCATGACCGCTGGGGTAGGGTGGGGCCACAATGGGGTATCAAAGTTTACCGTAGGAAAGCATAGGATTTTTAAAAATCCTCTGGCAATTTAGATTCAAATTAATTTAAATCATGACCCTCGGACCCTCAGATGTAGGATGGGGGGACAATTGTGGATCAAGGTTTAACATAGGAATACTGCACTTTAGTACATTTACATAGGGAAAATCTTTAAAAATCTTTTTCTCAAGAAATCAAATCCATGTGAGGTTATATTTATTTGGAAGAATCCTCTGTTAGTGCAAAATTAAATTTGTTCAAATCATGATCCCTGTGGCATGGTTGAGGCTATTATGGGTGATTAAATAGGAATACATAGGAAAAATCTTTTTCTCAAGAACAGAAAAACTGTGGTTGGTCATAGTTATATCGGGAAGGGGAGGAGTGAGGCCACAATGGTTTTACATAGGAATACATGTGGAAAATCGTTAAAATTCTTAACAAAAACAAAGAGATGATTGATCATGAATATAAAAGCATTAAAAAAGGTAAATAAATGCAGATTTATATTTATTCAAGTCATGACCAATCAGGAGAATAGATGAGCCATTAAAATGGATCATAACAAAGGAAAATAAAGTCTATATCAATAAAAATTTTAATCTTATAAACAGCAAATCCATTATTTGTCATTAATTCAAACGCTTCCTTAGGAAGTGTAGTTTTAAGTTTGTTGAAGTAACCCCCCCCCTACCACTGAACCTACTTTTATAATTAGAGATTTCAATACTGAACTGTTAAGTGCTTTTACCTAGCCAGTTCCTATGGTAAGAGATGTGGCCCCTGGAACTCTTGTTTAATTATACATGTATACAGTATCAGAATGCAATGTTACTATGCTTTAAAGGCAGAGGATAATTTTTTGTGCCCCAACTACCCCGGGGGTCATTAGTTAAACAAATTTGGATCTACATAAACTGAGAATGCTTCCACATGAATATGAAGAATCATGAATTTGTTGTACTTGAGAATAAGGAATAGGATTTTTTAAATGATATTTTCCTATATATGTCTATGTAAAAGTTTGATCCCCCATATGGCCCTCAATATTAATATGACCAATCATGGCTTTGCTGTTCTTAAAAAGAAGAGTTTTCAAGAATTTCCCAATGTATTCCTATATAAAACTTTAATGTCCATTGTGGCCCCAACCTACCCCAGGGCTCATGATTTGAACATACTCATACCTTCACCATCTTAGTATGATTCCACATGATTTTCATTTTTTTTTTTTTTGCCCTGTGTTTAAGAAGATTTTTATAAAGTTTTTTCTAACATATTCCTATGTAAAACTTTGATCGTCCATTGTGGCCCCACCCTACCCCGAAGGAGTCATGTTTTGAACAAACTTGAATCTACACTACCTGAGGATGCTTCCATATAAATGTGATCATTCATGCCTGAGGATGCTTCTACATAAGTTTCATCTTTCCTGGCTCAGTGGTTCTTGGGAAGATTTCTAAAGATGCCATTATTTTTTCACTTATTCCTAATAATCTCCCCTTGAATGAGGGTAGGGTCCTTCATGTGAACAAACTCCTTTACCCATTTGACCCAGTGGTTCTCAAAAAGAAGTCGAAAATGTGAAAAGTTTACAGACAGACGGGCAGCTAGATGGACGGACTGCAGACAAAATGTTATCAGAAAAGCTCACTTGAGCCTTCGGCTCAGATGAGCTAAAAACAGTCTCTTATACCTGAAATTATGTTACAGAGTTTCTTCTATCAAATGCACTTCTGTTTTTAAAATCCTACATGCAAGAAGGGGGATGTATTGATCATGACACAGGGTTAAAATATTGAATCACGACAAAAAAGCATTTGATTGATTGTATATTTTATCACATATTTCCCCTTTATCCTGTTGATATAGCTCATGTGATATCGTTATCGTATCAACACTATGTATGCCTACGCTGCGTGACGTAATGTATCGCCAGAAAAAATAAACAAATACATGTGTATGATAGAGAGAATGACTTAATTTGTCAAATTTCACTTTAATTGATGTATTTTAACAAGATTTCATTCATGAATTAAAAAAATTACACTGAAATATTTTCTTCCTTTTTATATTTGTACAAACTTTATCATGTACAGCATAATTTTATTTATTACGTTATTTGGTCCGAATCTCCCATAGTTTGTAATTTGATATGATTTTTATCCAACGAGTTGTGTGTTTTCTATCCCCCAGCTAAGGCTCGGGGATAGAAAACACACAACTCGTTGGATAAAAATCATATCAAATTACAAACTATGGGAGATTCTTTTTATCACATATTTTTGTTCACTATAAATGTGTATTTTGTCGTATTTCTAATTCAAAGTTCCTTTTCGGCTACCTCGGACCAAATAACGTAATAAATAAAATTATGCTGTACATGATAAAGTTTGTACAAATATAAAAAGAAAGAAAATATTTCAGTGTAATTTTTTAATTCATGAATGAAATCTTGTTAAAATACATCAATTAAAGTGAAATTTGACAAATTAAGTCATTCTCTCTATCATACACATGTATTTGTTTATTTTTTCTGGCGATCCTATATGTATAACGTCCTATTCAAGAATTTTTTAATCATACAGACAAGTCACCATATGCAGGTGCATGGCTTCAAATTTAGACTTATACTCAGCGCTTAGGGCCATTGAACAGTGAGGGATCTTTATTAATTGTGCCAATGCCTACTGTGTCAGGGGACCTAAGTTTTTAAAATGGGAGATTTATTTAAATGAACCTTTTACAGAAAAACACTGGGAATTTTTTCTTCGGAATGCTTCAATTTGCACAAAGGACACCAAAATAATTTACTTTCAATATAGAATTCTTATGGGCTTCCTTGCCACAAATTCTTTTCTTCACAAGATAAAAATTGCTGAAAATAATCTTTGCTCTTTCTGTAAAACAGATCCAGAAACATTGATTCATCATTTTTATGATTGTAAACATGTACATGTAACTATTTTTTGGGAAAATTTTGAAAATTGGTATCAAGCTTTTGAAAATGATTATGTAGTTTCAAAACAAAAGGTGATGCTGGGTAATATTGAAGGAAGTTGTTTAGAAAATTTTCTCATCTTGTTAGGAAAAAAGTATTTGTATAATACTCAAGAACTCAAAGTACTATAACTAAATTTACAGAAGCTGGTAACATTTTAAAGTATTACAGGAAAATTGAAAAATATTGTGAGAGCTATCTTCATTTTAGAACTAAAATGTATAGTAAATGGGCAATGTTTGATTTGATTTGTCATACATAATTCCAATTATTACTAAGGTAATAAGTTAAGTTTGGGAAAGGTGCACAGAGTGTGTGTGGTGTGTGAGGGTGTGTTTTGTGTGTGTATTTTGTTTCTTTTGTAAGTATATTCATTTTCAAAAATAAAGCATTAAAAAAAAAAAAGTTTTTAAGGTCAAATCTAAAAGACCTGTGACTTCAAGTTCTAATGTCGAGCGCTTGGCGAAGGAAAAGTCATTACCTCTGCTTACCTCTTAGGTTGATGCAGTGCCAAGAATGAGAATCAAACCCGGACCTTCTGATCACCTCCATCTTTGCATTTCTAGAGAGTAGATTTTGGATCGGAAACCCTTGGCTAGCGTAGATGGATCAACTCCTGATCACGAAGCGAACACCATGAACACTGTGACTGGTAAAAAGGCATTTGAAAGAATTCCACAGATCACTCTGTCGTTGGTAACCATGGCAACAACATTCATAGAAATAAATAAGAAATACACACAAAATAATGTATCACAGTTGTGTCTACCCTGGATCAGGTTAAAAAGAACTATATGAGGTGTACATCTGAAGCTTTGTTTTCACATCCCAGTTAATTGTCTGTTACAAGTAGTGCTAAAAATCACAAGTCCTTCAGCTTCTTTTTTGGAAATTTAATTCAGTGAACCAAAGTGTTTCACAAAAACAGAACAATAATCTTATATTTGACAGGAAATGTATGTACTGTAGCTTGAGAAATAACAGGATCAACTCAAGCTTACAATACTGGAATCATGACAACAATATACATGTACATCTGTAAATACAGTCTCATCCCCTGTGAGTGAATAAAGCACAAAAAGCCCTCTACCAGTAGGGAACAAACGTTAATAATATCACAGATTGTGTTAGCCATTCAAATGACATCTACATCAACATTAAAGCACTTCATTAACTTTGTCTGTGTGTAAAACACCAGCATGGACAAGATGATGTTTAACGAGACAGATATTACATTTAATCTCGGGTATTGCACATTAGTCTATCAGCACAATATGAAAAATAAACAAATGCCTATTACATATAACAATGTCGGACATAAGGCTTTGGACAAAAATTCTGAACAAAACACAGTATTATTTCCATTTGAATGGCACAGTTTGAGCACTTTCTTGCAAAGAAACACAAAATGGAAAATAAAATGTTTGCAAAATAAATGTATCACACAGAATGCTGGGATTGTTGATGAATTCTCTCCGTACTTTGAGGCCGGGATGATTTAACGTAGACATTCATCGATGAGGAAATCCAGGGCGTGATCATGAGACGCTTTAGGAATGTTTCCCCACAGCAGAATCTCATTTCCTACAAAATATCATAGAGTTATCTCCCTTGAAGTGTTAACATAATAAAATTTCATAAATTCTAGCATGTGTTTTAATAATGTTTTTTAAATTTATCACAAAGTTATATATCCAGCTAGTGCTTAAATTGGTAGCTGTGTGTATATAACATTAATGAAGCTCTATTTCTTAGGTTTACACAGTGAATGATTTTTTTATGATCATCCATCAGAAATAATCATGAGAATTCCTATAACATCTCTAAGTTACAGATCTATAGCTCACTGACATGAAAAAAAAATTGGATGGATGACCAGAGACCTACAGTGCTACCCATGAGAAGTGTACAGTAAAGCTCGTTTAATACGAACATGTAGATTGTGAATTTACGGATATAGCAAAGTTATATTGGATCCCCCGCTTTATAAATTTAGCAAATTCCTTATATGGATATAATGAATTTCAGATAAAACGAAATAATTTTATAGGTCCCAGTGACTTCGTTATAATCGAGTTTTACTGTATATCTGTACATGTAGGACTCCAAAGTGCGATGGGTCCCCAAAGTCTGATGGTCTGCGCCAAACCCCGATGGTGCTGAAAACAATTAATGTTCATGACGACATAGTACTACTGTGCAAAAATGCAATGCCTCGCCATGCCAAGGCCCGATTGTTTAAAATGAATACAAATAATTATTAAATGCAAAGACTAACCCTAATCTTTTGGATATAGGTGCGAGACTAACACTTATAAGTCGAAAAATGTGTAACAACCATAAGCTAGATATCTTGGATGGGTGCAGGACTAATCCAAATAAGTCCAATAGTGTGATAGGACTAACCATAAAATCTCTCAGGTGAGTTTGAAGAACACATTGGTGTTCAAGAACTAACCCTTATCAGTCAAATGGTGTACAAGGACTAACCCTAATAGCTCTGGTGGGCGAAAACAATAAGCAAATTCAGTAAAATTGTAAGGGGGACAAATACTAAATCAATGGATATTGAATGCAGGATAAAGTCATGACGTCGGACTATTGTGACGTCATAAATGTTGATTGTTCCTTCGCACCATCAGACTTTGGCATGTCAGACCATCACATTTTAGCGTCACGTGTCTCATAGGAAACAAGCCATCAGACTTTGGCGTGACCATCGGACTTTGGGGTCTGTAAAGACAGCGAGCCATCAGGGTTTGGCGCAGACCATCCGGGTTTGGCGAGACAATCGGACTTTGGTGCCACCATCGCAGTTTAGAGTCTTACATATCTATTGTACCAAAAAAATGTTATGCTTCTCAGAATATTTGAAAATATTACTAACCAGTAACCATGGTAACCATATGTCCTACCATAATATTTTACCACTTTCACAACAAAACTACACATGCACGAGTCATGCATGAAGCACACTGGATTAAATAATTTTGCCAACCAAATGTAAACATAAATAGGCAAATTTTCGTTTTAATTTTCATTTAATGCCCAGGCGGACTATTGACAGTGATCATCAGATCTGAAATGTTTTGTTGTGAAAGTAAATAAAAGAATGTGCTAGGAACATACATATTTAGAATTACATATTAAGATCATAACTTCAATAATGGAGAAATAAATTGAGATACAGCACATCTCTTATGAGCAATAAATATCCTTCTTTCAGAATCAAAGGGTGGCACTGTAGCTCTCTGGTCATCTGTACCATTTTTTTTCCAGTAAGCAACATATAGTAACAAAGTTACAGAACTGCAGCCACATGTAATTGTATTCATTTCTCTGCAAGGTTGAATTACTTTCTTTAAATTTAAGCATTTCTCAATTACAAGATATAAACATTTTTAATCTGCTCCATAATGTATAATGTGAATAATAGAAATGAGCTAATTCAAAAGTTTGTTTTTCTCTAACCAGCATCTACCTTTCTTTTCAAATCTCTCGTACGGCGATATCTTGTCTGTATAAAACATCCACAGGTGCCCGTTATTACAGGACTGTAAACAAGTTTTACAGGGCAGCCTCACATTGTAACCAACCACACTGCCACTGTAAACAAAAATATTAATTCTCAAACATAGCATAGCTCCTGATTCAAATGCATTAAATATTATGCATGTATACCCAATTTTATATCAGTCAATTTTACTGTTCATTTTGTGCCATCATCTGATGGTTCCACTTTTTGAAACAAGAAACGGCCTTTTGTTTTTTTGAATCCATATCAACCCTCCTAGAAGCAGGACAAAGTTATGCGAGATATTTCTGGTAGATCAAAACATTCATTGATAAAATACTTTAATCTATGGATAAAGGGTATATAATTTGCCCCAAAATGTTCTTCAATATAAAAAAACATTGAATTGAGGGGTGTGTATTAAACTTTAGTGAAGGGACATCGGTTAATTTTCATAATCGATCATCGGTTGGAATTGGTTACTGTTTCCGATGCGATTTTATCGATTATAATCGGATGTCATAGTTTTGTATATAAAAGCAGACTATAACAATGAATTCATATTATTTTTTAATCACGGATCTATATATATGTAATATATTGCTTTCTTTGTTTTTTTAAATTCTTTTCCACTTTCTATATAATGCACCTTTTGGTTCTTAACCACCTCTGTTTTGTGCTAGTTTGCTTTGTAACACATAAGTATGGTGAATGGTCATTGGTGTGATGCCTGTCTATATTAATCATTGACCAGGCACTATTAGCATTAAAATAGCCTGGAGATTCCAACTATTATAAATTAGAAACCAAGAAAAAAGATGTACTTGTATAATTTGTTGATAAATGATAATTAACACATAATATATTATATTAATTAGTACGTTTCTGATTATCGATTATGAAAAACAATAATCAATCATCGGAATCGGTAGCATTTTTTCGTCGACAATCAATGTTTTCCGATTATCGGTACAACACTATTAAACTTATCATTACAATTATAGTAAAATGATCCAAAGAGTCAAATCTCACTGACAGATGCAACTATCGTAACCATTTCAAAATCCGATGAAAAACAGATGAGACCATTTGAATTTGTTTACAATCCATTATGCAATGATTAATAACAGCCACTTTCAATTTATCAAAACATGACATGTATTTAAAAAGGTGAAGTTAATAAGCACTGGTCTGATTACTGTAGATCACTAAATTTTCACGACACCTTATTTTCGCGAGATAGTCATTGACTCTTGATTAGCGAGACAAAATTTTCGCAAATCGTGGTCATTGCTCTATATATTCTTAAGGAATACTACTATACGCGAGAATTAAATTTTCGCGAGCACACTGTCTCGTGTAATTACGCGAAAATAAAGTTTTCGCGAATAAAAAGTGATTTACAGTAATCTGAAAGTGAAACTTTGACGAGATTTGGCTGTCTTAGTTTTGGGACTGACGTCTTAAAATTCATCAAAAACATCATCATCAGTCCAAATATCTACCAATTAGCAAGCTGATTCTCAATCAATATTATCAGTGAGCCTGTACACAAAACAAATCATTAAATTTAAAAACACAGACCCCTGCCCCTGGATCGAAGTGCCAGTTATGAGTGGTGAAAAAACTGCACCATTCCCAAGCCTTACCATTGAGTGCATGCCACATTCTCCAGCTGACAGTCACAGGTGTCTGTCTCAAACCTCTCACCTGTCAAGGCAACACAGCTGTAAATATATAAATACATGAAAAATACAGGCATTTGTAGACTTTGCTCACACTGTCGATTCCTCTATGGTATGAATTTAGTGTAATGAATTTGGATATATTTTTCACGCAGTAATGTATTACAACAAATAGCTTTATGTTCAATTTGTGGTCTTAACAATGTAACACCTGTGTGAAAAAGTATCAGTCAAACCTTTTCTCAGGACAGTCTGTTGAAAATAACCTTGTATCTGAGTCAGCCACTAAAACCGATTCCATGGCCCGGCGACAGACGGTATTTTCACAAATTTTGCAGTCCAAAAAGAAAACTTCTTTAGACTGGAATTGGGGATGAACAGGGGACTTGTCGGACATTTTTATACGTTCAATTATTACCCTACAATATAGTGATGTTTCCTCTTTGGTACCTGAATGGCGTCTGACAGCTACATGTGGCTTCTGTATTTACACTTGTCACGATGACTATGATTGGCTTAAAATTAAAAACAATTTCCTGATCTGATATCTGATTGGTCACTTGGAACTTGTAGTTAAGCGAGTACTTGCTAGTAAAATCTCGTGATGTCTCGTCTTCGATTACGAGATGTGCCGGTCCGATATGCAATACACAGACAAGGGAAGATGCAGACCGATTCATGAACAGCGGTTTTAGTAATTTTTGGAATACTGTTTGAATTAAACAATGTCTTCAGAAAAGAAACCGAAGAAAGAAAAGGAAATTCTCTTGGAATTTGAAAATCAATCTAGAGGTAAGTTATGAATTTTACGCATTGTTGACAAACAGGCTTACAATGCCGATATATTTTTATCGCAACTCGGGGTCGACCCTCTAGTTCTGGGGGTCCTTCCCCGTTATCTGGTGTCCAGTAGCCGTACAGGAGTTTCCTTCGGAAGCAGTAATCACCGGATGGGTCGACTGCTACTGCTTTTTAAATCACTTCCGCAAATAAACACTTGTAATGTAAATATTATGACCTTATTTTACCCCATTGTTGAACGTGACAAATGAAGCGTGACGAGCAGTGTCGTAATATAATGTTTTTTGACTTGTCATTAGATATGCTGATTAGACTTGATCATTTGATATGGTAGCTATGCTGGTTTTGTTTCTTGTTTTTTAATTAGAAAAAAAGAAAAGTAGTTGATCAATGCCAATCTATAAGGCCTAACGTTAATTAGAAATGTCTAAGAAAAGTAATTTATCACTTTAGAAAATAAATATGTTTAATTTAAGTTGGATATGTTACAAACGGGCCTCATTAAAGTATTTTTAATATTTTAAAAAAAAAAGTTTTAATTCAACGCAAATTATTAGATCTAGACTAAGTGTAATTGAGACGTTTCAGTTTAGTTGGTTATTTTTCCTATTAGCCTATTCTGTTGATACTCAGATCAATAAAGTGTACTTGACACAAGGAAGTTCAATAAATCTTTAAGTATTGTCATTTTTATACTATTATTTTTTACTTTGGCTGGGTGTTTTCTTTAGTGTTTTGTGACCATATAAAGTTTCAAGTACTGAAAATCCCATTTCTTTTCAGACAGAATGACTAAGGGTTGAGTTTAACGAGAGTAATACCTCAAGACAGTTGGTTTTGGTATATTTTAGGGGCCTGTGTTTGCTCTACTCAAAATTTGTATTGATCCATAAGACTATTGGACTTTTGACCTTCATTTCAGTTAGTTATCTTTACACAGTTACCAAAATTTCCATTTATGTTACTTGATTTCCTTTGATTTTTATATTCTTTCCCCAATCCTTTTTGAAGCAGAGCACTTCCTAGAAAGTGTGCAGTTTTGATATGTTACTTCCATTTTACTGTAAACGATTGAATAGCCTTTTGTTTTGACCTGAATCTCTTGATTAAGGGGGAGGAAGTGTGTGTGTTGTAGATTGACTTTAAATTTGATGGCTAATCTTTTGACAGCTAATCAGAACGAGTTTATAAGTACGGCAATACAGATATATCTAATGATGGAAACAGACAGTTTGACAAGGAGGAAGAAAAATTCAATACACAACAGGGGGAAAACTTAATCTGTTACAGCTCTGATACACAAGAGGAATTTCGTAGGACCAATATATCAAACAAGATTTTTTTTTGACAGTTCATGGCAGACCACTTATGTGTTTGACTTACATTTCACCTTGGTGTTCATTTCATTAAAAGAATTCTGACATTGGTTACTTTTAGGGTCTAACTATAATCTTAAAGAAGTAAGCATTTATAGGACATGATGGATTATGACCTACAGATAAATGGGTTTTATTGCAATGTCAAATTCTTATCCAGGTCAGGTAGTGCAAGTATTTATGTCAAATTTATGGAAATACCACATATTTAATGTTGCTTAATGATTATGAAGTTCAATATTAAAGAAAATGAATGAATGAATTGAGTTGATTGGGAATTAAGGTGGTTATAAGTTAGATATCATTCTTAGGAGAGGGGGGATTTCATAATTTGGCAGACTGATTGTATATAATTGTAAAGTAGTGCACATGTAGAAATAGAACCTGATTTTTAATAACATGGACTAGTACAGGATATATAGAAAGTAGTATATTTCTATGAGAAAGAAGAGGAATCTTTTGTTTAGTGCTGATCATCAAGTGTCTGCTGACAAGGCAGAATCAAACATGTGTTTGCAAACTTTGGAGAGGTTGGTAGTATTTGATGAGACCACTAACCATGCTAACGATCAGCGGGGTTAAGTGCTTGTACAGCTTAGAAATAGTTACCAGACACTTAGACAGAAACACTAACTCAAAAACCAGGGTCTGGATTGCTTCAACATTGAAATATTCACACACACACGGTCTAACAACATCAGCAGTGGTGATTTAGGGATTTTCCTAAAATTCTTTGTTATTTTTCACAATTTTACATAGTATATTCTTTGCAAAAATAAAAAAAATCATGTGATTTGGGAGATGGATTGAGAGTCGATTCTAACTAGCATCACGAGCATATAATACCATAAAAAAATATAAATGAGGAACTAATATTTAAAAATTTTACTATCTGGCAAAAAACTTATAAATAGATCTATATGAGCTGACACAATTTTATGTTGACTAAATGTCAAGTAATGAATTATAAAACACCTTTGTATATATTTTACAAACTTTCATACACCTTTGTAAAATGGGCAGACTATCACGCCTTTTATTCATAAAATTTATTTCTACACATCTCTTTGCCATGCATGATTAATTAACTTCTCTGCTATATCTGTTTTGGTAACAAGAATTTGTATGCTGCTGTCTACTGCTGTTTGTAATGTGTGACAGATGAGATTGGCTGTACTTTAATTAGATCATCAAAAACTCTTGCAAATTGCAAGAAGTAATAACAGGAAATAGAATGCAATGAAGCCAGCTCCCAACCAAAGTTCTCTTCTAAATTCCTCTGTGCCTGCCCCGAACATTTACTTTTAGGAAAACCAATTTTTCCATACATGTAGAAACAACAAATGTTTATAGGGTAAAAATTAGACCATAGCAAAGGGTATCTTGCATGGATTCCTGGATGATCAGATGATGATTGGGGTTCTTTGCCTGCTAATTTTTTGAGAGGGGAGGGGTATAAAAATGTGGGTTCTCTAATAAGTCTAGTGATGACCAACTCATTAGAGTAATTTCATCATTAGTACATGTTTATCAGGTTTATCAGTGGTGGTCATAGTTATTCCTGCTGAACATTATCTCTATTTTACTGGTGGTGGTGGTAGTTGCAGGTGTGTGCTTTGTTTTTCAGTAGGCAAAAGATTGTGTATTTATATTCATACCAAATTTTACTCAGCCTTGTGTGTTTTAGATTTCCAACACTTCTTTTATGCAGAAATATGTTAGTTGTATTAGCATCAAACTGTGTACTATGGCAATATTTTTCTACAGTATCAAAAAAAAAGAAGAATGAGTTTTTGGATGGCATGGTGAAATACGAGGGTTGTTAGAAAACTTCGCGGACAAAGTGAATTACGGAAAATCTGTTGTGTACTGTGAAGTATGACGTATGTCTGAATAAATTCCTTTATTTTGTTTATTTGTATGTAAAAAATCAGGTCCGTTTACTACAATCTTGAAATTTTACAACGATTTTTACTATGAGGTCAAGGGATTCATGGAGCAATCACTTGACGTAAGTCGACGTGACAGCCAGATTTCAACACGTTAAGCTTTGTTGCAGTTCATTAAATCTTTCATTTTTTTTTTTTTTTTATATTTTTCTTATCTTTTTTTCTACTCTAAAATTTAATATCTATATCAAGACATGTTACTTTTCTACTATAATGCAGAGCTGTTTACTCTTACGATTTCGCCGTATTTTATACGGATTTTTAGTACAAAATACGTCTCACCTTTTGATGTTATGAAAATACGGAAATCGGAAATACATTTGTTTGGAATTTCTCAGTTAGTTTTCGTTATGTTCGTTTTAGTTATCAGATTGATTGTAGGTTGTTTAACGCCCCTCTCTCGAGTCTTTCACTCATATATTTCTCAGTTAGTTTTCGTTATGTTCGTTTTAGTTATCAGATTGATTGTAGGTTGTTTAACGTCCCTCTCTCGAGTCTTTCGTTCATATGGACACCATCAATTGTCGGTGGAGAACTGCAAACTTTGTTTTTGTACAAAGAGCGGGGAGGGATCTTTTTCATGCCAGCACCTACTGCGACACGGAACCTCGGTTTGTACGGTCTCCATGTCTCACAGTGGGGTGAAGACGGAGATGGATATAACGAACAATATTCAATATCAAAGTCCATAAAACAATACAAAATATGAGCAGAGCACACATGGACCTCCGAAACATCAGAAGTGGGATCCGAACCCTCGATGTAAGGATCAAGTCCTTACTTCGAGACTCTAGAGCAGACGCTCTAACCACTGCGCCACGCGGGTGACTTAGTATTTAGAGAATCAGTCTTTACTTATAAATATATGTAAAATCAATGAAAAATGAAATCTCACTGGCAAATGCCAAATCTCACTGGCAAATGCCAAATCTCACGGACAAATTTCATCAAAATTACTGAAAAACATCGATATAGGTAAACAGGTCTGATAATGTCTTTTGTACTGATTCGGATATCAATGAGATCTTTGGGGGAAAAGTCAATGCAGTTAATCGATTAGGTATGGAAACGATGCAAATCCATACAGGCACAACGTCCATGCAATAAGGGGGTATTGAAGTATCGATGGAGTTCATCATTCAAAATGTTAATCCTTCCATTCTAATAAAGCTACAACCATTTAAAAACTTTTGTCCTTTGTATGTGTAGGAAATTCTCGGCAGCATCTTGCACATTTTGATCTCTTTTTAATCATTTTCCTGTCTGCATACATAATTTTCTGCGTATTGCAGTGATCCATGACGCTCAATGACGTTCCGATTTTCGGTTGTGTTTTTACGCGTTGATCATTTATAAATGGCTATAAAACAGTCATATACCCTGCAATAAGTTTCAAAATGTCT